TTTCAAGCGAGAGCTACCGAAATGGCAGGGACGGGGCCGACGGGCGCGCGTTTCCCTACGGCGTTTATCTGCCCGCAAGCTGCGAGGCGAAGGTGCCGCGTTTCCCGGCACACGCCCGCCTTGCCCGCGGGGGTCGGTGCAGCGGCTGGGGGGGGGGGGGGGGGGGACCCCCGGGGGGGCCCCCCCCCCCCGCGGCTGTGGAGGAAGGGGCAGTCATCCTCGGGGTTACCCCCTCCCTCCAAGCCCGCGATAAAAAGCCCGCCGAGGCTAGGCGGGGCTCTCCACCCGGAGCCTCCTGTTTGTCTCAGTAAATCACATTACGAAGCAAAGTGCAAGGGTAGTTAACTTTATCTTCTGTTAATGTAAACAAATAAGAAGCATTCAGTTCCTTGATCTTTATTTAAATATAGAGTTGTTTATCAGTGTCATCCTATGAAGATTAATTAGATACCTTTATTCACAATTTGGCGTCTGACACCCCGTTTTAGGAATGCATTATAATCACAAGGTGTTAATTGGGGCCAGCCAGGCACTTAGGTTTCTATTAAAACAGTGTGAGGACTTTTCAGAAGTATTAAGTTCTTTTTAACTGCGCGGTGCAAAAATATATCGCTCTTAATAACACAGCGCGGCCGAATCGCGCTCCTGAGCGCTGTATAATCGGCGTTTGGAGCCCGGGAAGGGCGGGCGAGGTGAGGCCGGCATGCCACCGCACCCCGGGCTGGAAACGGGGGAGAGCCTGCCTTTCCAGGGGGATTTTCTGGAAGGGGGTATCCCCCATTTAGAAGAAAAAAATAGGGAAAAAGAAACAAAAAAAATATTCCGTCCCCAGTCGCTTAAAAATTACCGCCAGTCCCCTTCTGTCCCAAATCGGATGTGACTCTCTGCAGGGGGAGAGCCGCTGGGACAACGATTTGTTTCGCCTGCCAACGCGCAGAGCCGGAGCCTCGCACCGAGAAGTGAAGAGCTGATCGAAATTTCCTCGGGAATCCGCCGTTCTCCGCTCCGGAGCGGCGGAGCCGCCCGGGGGCCGCTGCCAGCGCCCCCCGCCCGCGTTTACCTCTTCTGGGGCGGGCCCCGGCCTGAGCCCCTGGTTTATTTTGTTTGCAGCCGGGCACGGCTAACGGTTTAATCCCATTACTGCCTGCATATCGTCAGGAAAGGTCCCGCTGCCGCGGGAGCCGGGACTCAATCGCTCTGCCAGGAGGAGCTTTCTCCCCAGATAAGCGGGCAGGGGAATTTCTTACCGTGTTCCGGGAAACGGAGGGGGCAGGCAGGGGCAGCCCCGCTGCTGCTGGGGGAGGCCAGCCGAGTTCACAATGCGCTCCCCGGGACGAGGGCTGAGCTCACACCTCGCCTCCCGCAGCAGGGTGGTGGTGGCGGCGGGGGCAGGGGAAAAGAGGCACCGCCGCATTTTTGGACCAAGCCGGGGGCTCAGAGGTTGGGGGATGCACGGGAGAACTGTGGCAAACTGTGAGAAGATGTAAAAAAACCCACCCACACACAGATAGCACCTAACAGCGTCCAAATGGGCACAGTGCAAGGGATAAAGCAGCAAGGAGAAACTTTGCAAGGCATGTCTAGATATAGAGACAACTCAGCCCCCAAAGATTGTGCTCCCTCCTCCTCCCCCAAGCTGGGACACCCAGTAGAGGCAAAGACGAGGCAGAGAGCCACCCCCACTCTTGTCCCTGGCACCACCACATTTATTAAAAATTACTACTATGTACATAGAAAAAGAAAACGGAACCAAGTTTTGTTGGGAGAAGAGTTTGTGTGCCAGTGCTCTAGGGCTGATCAGTTTAAAATGGCTGAAACTATAGGCAAGAAGAGTGGGCAAGTTACATCACTTCATTTTGTACAGGGCAGCTGAAAAAGTCACTTTACGTACACGTAAATAGAAATCCGTTCATGTTTTTCGCAATGCTCCATATGCTAGGTTTGATTAACCAAAAAAAAAAAAGCCTTTTGAACTTCAAAGCACCACCAGAGGTCCTTCTGACTGAACAGCTATAGGTCAACTATTTATACATTATTCCACAATATTCTACAGTGTACCTAGACAAAACACAACTGTACACTTTGTTTTTGGCCACCTCAATAAAGGTTAGGCTTTTGGGATGGAGGCATGTTTTTTTGTAATGCAAGTTCTAAACTAAGAAGTCAGATTTGGTCATTGTAACCCCATCGTTAGCAAAAAGACCTTCAAGTCAAAATCCTGCCTGGCAAGCAGGCCTCATTTTGGCCATCTTCTGCCAAAGAAAGCCTCAGCCGAGCAATATCCAACTCGGCCAACTGTGCTGCAGACAAGGGTTGAAGAAGCCAGCTCAGTCTAAAGCAGAACATAGCATTTGTGCAGCTCCCCGCAACCCAGCCCCCCTTTATCTGAGGGGCAGGCAGGGAAGAAAGTTAAATTTGGGATCCTACCCCCTTATTTCCTTGCTCAGGAGTGCATAGATTTGATCAGGCCTCTGAGCCAAGCCTAACTGTACACTTTAGTGTCTCCAATAAATAAGCCACATTGTAAAAAAAATCTAGGCTCCTGCTTACAGCTTCCACATGTGGTTCCTTCTAAAAGAGGGGAAGAATTCTACCATAGTTTGCTCTTTTTTGCTCTTTCCCTCCTTTGTTACCTGCAACAGTCAAAAAGCTTTGGCACCTTCTTTAGAATTGCACACAACAATTCAAGGTGGAAGGCAAGAGTGTTTTTGGCAATTGTAATGCAAAAAAACCAAGGCCACCCTGAAAAAAAATTAGCCAATTGGAATAAAAGGATGCTTTAAGAACTAGTATAGAACGCATAGTAGCCCATGCCTTTTGAAGTGTCTTTGCTATAGTCCTCAGCATTAATGTCCTCACATTTCATAGTTGGGGAATTTTCATTGCTGGAAGTGCTAGGGGATAGCCGTCTTCTCTTACAAGCACCCGTGTAGACCCCAGAATCATTTGAATCTAGAGACTTTATGGAGGGTGGAGTCTCTATCCAGGATGAGCCAATTTCTTCTTTCACCTTCTCCTTAGAAAGCTGGTCTTCGGAGAAACCTGAAGGACTTGTTCTGGAGGTCCAAGGTAATCCTGTTGTCATTTTTCTCTGGTAAGAGCCCCTGCTCCCCCAGCCTGCCATGGATGGAAATGTCGGGTCAGGGTAGTACCCCAGAGCATGGGATGTCTGAAGGGGGAGGGATTTAATGCCATAAGGGAGCAAGGTGCTAGGAGAATACTCCGTCTCGTAGGAGTTCATGTCCAGTTTGTTGGCACTGGGCTGCTGTACAGGCGTAACAAACCACCGCTGAGGAGGGCTGGCCACCTCTTCATTCTGCTGCGGGGAGAGCAAGCCGTTTGTCTGAGGGACGGTTCTCTCACTGTTGTAAAACCTGGCTGGGGGCAGGTTGTTGACAAACTGTTCTTGGAAGAACGGTTGCACGCTGTATCGGGCACCAGGGACGATCTGGTGGGATCTAGGAGAATCCGTGGGAGATGGAGTTAATCTGTCATTTTCTGAAGCTGTGTACATGCTACAACAAAAGAGAAATACTGAGTGGTGTTCTTCACAATTCCAGTATGATAGTAAGACAACACAAACAGGAAGAAACTGAGTTATTTCTTAATTAGAATCACAACTAGGTTTAACTGGATGGCTGTTCATTTTCATCCAATTTAGGAATCGTTTTTCCTAAACCAGTATAAAATTTCTAGTATTACCGTTACACATATACACTGTTTTCTGCCAGCCAACCCATTTTAAATGAGGTGCAGCACCTTCCTCCCAGAAGCCATACTTGCATATATACAGCTCCAGTTTTTCAAAGGCCATTTGATGCTAGAAAGTGAGCGATAGGCCCATCTTCTGCTGACAATTTGAAGAAGCTGCCTGCTCTCTGGAGATCCTTGATACACTACTGCCAATCTGCAGGCCAGCTAGGTTCTGCCAGTACAAATTTTCTACCAAAATTGAGAAGCCTGCTGGAAGACAGGTCATCAAGACAATACAGTAACTATACAAACAGACATTTAATGTTTCTAGACAGACATTTAATGTCTTTGAAAGGAGTACATCAGCTAGCAAAGCTGCCAGCTGAAGTATTACTACTTCTGAATAACTGAAGTAGTGTCTAAAGAAAAAGACTCTTCCACACACATTTCAGGCCAGAATCATGCCTCCTAGAGACAGCTGCAAGAGAAGACAGAAGCGTACTTACGAGTCATAGTTGTCTCTGAAGCCTTTTGCAAAAGGATTATGGTCAATTTTGAGCTGGGTAATCTAAAAGTGAAAGCAGAACATAGTAAGATGAGATGTTGAACCCACAAGACAATTTTATTCTTAATTGTCATTTTATACATCCATGCTTACGTCAGTGTTTTGATATGCTGTAACTGCTATGAACTGCGTTTCAGGGAAAATAAATGTTTGAGTCTTTGAGGAATCATTCAGATCTTCAACACCATCTTCAGTCACTTCCACAATGTGAAGCCGGGGCTGGTACTTGTGTAGGGATTGCAGTACTATCATCTAAAAGGAACCGTGGGAGAGACGAGATCTTTAGACAAACTGCGTCTAACATTAAAATATCTATTTTATAGCCTGACATTTTCTTCCTGTAAATTGTGATCTTTTGACTTGGGAATGGAGCAATTTTAACTGTTAACAGGAGATCCTTCACAGCTTATAGCCCTGTTTCACTAGATTACTAATATGCTAAAATCTGTAAACGCAGGAAATCAAGAGCCATCAGCTACACTCCCACTTTTTGAGCAACTCCGGAGATAGATGTGTGAATTTCTTTGTCTTTAGCCAATATATCTATTTCTGACATTGCTTCTCCTTATGAAGACAATTAGAAAAGAAAACAAAACCTACGATCCAGTTCAAGAAGGGAACAAGTCACAAGAACAGTGATCTAGCTGCTCGATTAAATGCTGTAAAGCCCCAAAACCCCAGGGCTCCCCCGGCTGAGCCACCAAAAGCCCCTTCAAGCCTGACTTCCCCCCCCATTTACCTGTGCGTTGTTGTTGTTAGCACCTTTATTGTTCGTTAGCTTCAGTTTCCCGAAAGAAATCTCCTGCCTCATCCAGTGAGCCCCGGTGTTGGGCGACTCGGGGTGCACGTACACTTTGTTGCCTGGGGAAGATAAGCACGTAAAGCGGCCGCCGGGCACAAGCGCTTTGTTCCACCGCCGGCAGCTCGGAGCAGCCGGGCAGAGGCCCGGGCAGCACCTCGCGTCCCCCGACGTCCCCTCTCCAACACAGCCTCGCACACCGCGGCGTGAAAAAAAGTTGCAAGACGCCCTTAAAAGCGCGGCTCTGCCCGCAGCGGGATGCCGGGGGCGAGGAAACCCCTGCAGAGGTGAGCGAAGCGCCAACTCTTTCTGGAAAGCCGACCCGCGGGGGAGGGCGGCGGGGAGACCCCGGAGAACCCGCACCTACCTTGCATGTTGTTGTCAGCTTTGCCGCAGGTCACCCACTTGCCCCCCTGGAAACGCCAGTGGTTGGGGTCCGCCAACACCACCTCCACGAAGACGTTGTAGTGGGCCGTGGGGTTGAGGCCGGTGATGTTAAAGCTCAGGAAAGGAAACATCCTCCTGGGGAGGGGAGGAAACGCACACGGCATGCGAGGCGGGCCAGGGAACGGGGCGCGGGTTCCGGAGGCAGCTGGAGACGGCCGCGGGGTGCCCCATCCATCCTGGCACGGAGGAAACCGAGGAGGCAGGCGACGAGCCC